CCCAGTAACGTCTACATCGTGAGACTTGTTACTGTGTTTGGCATGTTGAATACATCACAGGTAACTTGCCAGGCTTTGCCGTGCGGGCGAGATAGTCTCGGTAGCTTGCCGGGCTCTCCGAGAGAGGTGGAGGAATCAAACTCAGGTCAGCCATGTGGTCCGCATGCAAAGCAAATGCCCTACCCTCTGTGGGCTCCAGCCCCATCTTTAACGTAATTCTTAGAAAATTTGATGAAAATGTGACATTAAGGAAAATAAAATAGATAACACTTAGCCAAGAACCCCATGTCTTTGCTTAATTGGTGAATTACGTTCTATCAATATTAATGTAAAAACAAGTTAATGTGTTACCTTCTAGGTCAAGCCAAGATAATACACAGAGTAAGAATGGATTTTATCACTTGTGTGGAAACTTCTTTGATGTATTCTCTGAAGTCTCCATTCCCATACTAGCTGAAGTGAATCTAGCTCTTCTGAAATCCTCCACACTAATTGATTGAAATATTTGGGGGATGCTCAGACGGTGGGGCAGATGCCTAGAGATTCTCAGATAGCTTACCAAACAGTTGAATGCTGGGGCCCAAGAATGTCATATTGATGAAACCCTGTGATCACCAGGCCACCCTGGCAGTGCTCAGGCGACACTGGGACCACAGGTGGCTGTGTGTGGAAGGGTCTATGTGGTGCTTTGGATAAAACAGGAGTTGAACAGCTGCATGGTCCCTAACCCCTTTACTATCTCCCCATCCTGAAATACTTGTTTTATGTTAACTAGTGGTTGCTTTCAGCCATCACTTTTTAGGTTAATTTTCATTAGAATATGTTATATCCTTCCCCTCCCCTCTTCTCCCCTCCCCTCCTTTCCCCTCCCCTCCCCTCCTCTCCCCTCCTCTCCTCTCCTGGCTCACTCTGTCCCTCCTTTCCTCTCTCATATACCTGGTCCTTCTATGTGAGTCTAAGAGTCTATTCTGTCTGCTTTAATGTACAAGGAGCTGGAAGATTTGATGCGGACCTACTTTCTGGTTCATAGAAGTTTGTCTTCAGTATTCATACATGGTAGAAATTTCTGGGAGTCATTTATTAAGCACAAGCCCCATTCAGACCAAGGCTGCCTTAAACTCAATTACCAACTAAGATTCCCACCTCCTAATATCTGCAGTGGGGACATATTTCAAAATGAATTTTGAATGAACACATTCAATTTCTATTGCTGTATCTCTACAATCTATACCTAATGGTTTCAGCATCAGCATCACCTTGCTTTATAGAGCACTGGCCTAGAATGCAGATTTCTCGAAGAGACAAGAGGTAAATAATTTTTGAGGAATTTCATATCCCTGCCACTAGTTTTACAGTTTCTATTTTTAAAATATAAAATGCTAAATTCCAGACACTTCAAAGGCAAATTAATATAATTTAGTACTCCCTAGAATAATAAAATTCATGATTCACAAAATGTATTCTTCTAGTTATTACCATGTTGAATCCTAGAATAAACTCAAAGGGAATAAAACTTAAAATAACACAAGGGCCAGTGATAGCCAATTAATAGAACTGTTGTTAATAGCTATTCAATCTTTTGTGTTTTCAAATAAGCTAGGTTATATGTAATTTATGTTTTTAGAAATTAAAAAAAATTCTATGGCTGTTTTCAAATTTAGACTGAGATAATCACTCTTGTTACTTGATTTCAGGCATTAATCTACCCAATACAAAAGTCTTTTGCAAGAAACAATGTCACATTTTGTTGTATCTGCAGCCTGAGAAGGATAAACATAGAAGGGTGTCATTTGCTAAAAGGTAAGAGTCACTGGTATTCTCTTGTTATTTTCACTTGCAATTTCACAGCCTCAAACAATACTGAAAAGAGAAATTGGAAAAAGGCAGAATTGATTTGCAGAAGGGAAGTACTGTTTTCTTTTACACCTTCTTCATCAGAGTTGCTATCATTCTTGTGTTGTGTAATATTATTGAGAGTGGCCTGAGCACAGGAAATAATTGCTAAAAGTCATTCTCTAAAGTGAAAGCAGAAAACAAAACAAAAGCCTCCAGTTGTCTGTAATCTTTAAATTTTCTAAATTTGTAATCCTGTTTTTATAGTATCTATTCCCTCCCCCTGGATTTTACACATAAAGGTTTCTTTATGGGGGGGGGGGGGGAGGGAGGGAGGGAGAAAGTGAGACAGAGAAAGAGAGAGACAGAGAGAGACAGACAGACAGACAGACAGACAGAAACAGAAACAGACACATAGAGAGAGACACAGAGAGAGCACAGAGACAGACAGACACAGAGATACAGATACAGAGAGTGCACTGTGGGCAAGGCATTTGTCTTCCATGCAGCTAACTGATGGCACCACATATGGTCCTCTAAACCCGACAAGAATGATTCCTGAGCACAAAGGCAGGAGTAAGCCCTGAGCACAGCTGGGAATGGCCCCCAAATAAAAAACTCTGCCCTCAAATAGCCATAATCATATCAACCTTCTTTGCTCTGTACTCGATAAGCATGAAATTAATACGGTAGCTAAATGTGTAATTTGAACTAAATGCAAGTCCTTCAACATTTTGCTTTCCATTTCAATTTTTATTCTTTCTAAATTTCACCTTTAAACCTAAGTATATGAGAAAAATGTTCCAGAGAACTTTGTACTATTTCATACATTAAGAATAAAATGAGTTTACTCTCCCTGCTGTTTTCCTGGTCAGCAATAAGTTCTTAGTAAATATCAAATTTGAGTGATTTTAAAACAAATCTTTGTCTATTTAATATCAACCGTGAAACAAAATCTCCTTTGTTTTCTTAAAGATAGTTGAGAAAGAACAGTGTGGAATTATGGACTCAAATTTTATATCCTTCTATTTATTGTTCTTTAAAAATATATTTCTAATGATGAAATTTTTACTATGTAATGCCTTCTTCCCAGTAGAATGGAGTTTACAGTACAACAACCTTGTAATTATCTTTGCATTGCTATTTTTATTCAGGTTCTTTAGTCTTTGTAATCTTCCTACCCCCAAATTCAGAAAATTTTGTGTATCAAAAAATCATAAAGCTTTTTATTTAGTTAATTAAATTATATTGCTGCTCTGCAAAGTAGGTAAGAATTAAATGCAAAAGAAAATCAGCCCAATTTATTAAGACTGAGATGGGTGACTTTGATAAAAAAAATGCAAACAATAACAGAAACCCATTTTAATAGGTTTTAAAAGACTGTCAAATAATATATAGAAGCACCCACTTAAATTTTAATTTCAGATAAACAACAAATAGTATTTTCTTTAAGTATGTCCCAAATAATATAGAGCCTTTATTTTTATTTGCTATATCTAGAACCCTAAAAGTTGTTGCCTTTTCCACCCTTAATATTGTCTTATTTTCAGCAAGTCACCCAGTATTTTATAAAATAGCAACAACTTTGAGTTTATAAAAAGTGGAGATGTAAAATTATGAATCATGAAAGTTAATTCAACTTCAAGTAGGGAGACCTATGCAGACAGGGCTTTTGATATAGAAGAATTCTAGGACATATATTGTACATCTATCCCAGGACCTAGGAAATTCCAATTTTCTAACTTGCATGAAAATTGTAGTATTTTGAGCTCTCTAAATTTTTCAGTAGATGTAAGGGAAAGAATTGGATTGTTTTTCATTATCATTTCTCTTCCCATCTCAATCAATTCCAAGATTTTCAATCAAGAAAACCAACTACTTTATCAGTGTTAGAAAAGCTATGTGCACAGATTAACTACATCTCCAGTAAAAAAAATTCTCTTTAAGTGATACTACCTTTCATTTATTTCAAGGTTCCAGCATTTCCATCATTAGTGCATTTGTCTCTTAGATTGATTTTGAAAATATTATCTATAATGTGCTAGGCACCCTGCTAGACGCTACAGTAAGGTAATTGTAAAACGTGTTCAACAGCAAAATTTCTGTTCACTTTCAAAAGCTTTGTAGCGTGAAGCAGATAAAATAGGAATTATGATTCACATGTTACAGGTAAAGATGTAAGTGCTCCAGAATTAAGGGGTTTTATCTAAGGTCCCAAATTTATTGAGCCAAGAGTGACGCTTCGGTGATTTTCACTGGCTCCAGGCTCAGGGCATTCTCCAATATACTTCACAGGAAATCCCAGATAACTTCGTGTCTTAACCCCTTCTTTGCCCAGGAGCAAAATGGGAACGCGTCTTGAATTCCTCAGTTCTGAGTAGTGAAACACGTGTTCTCCGGTTGTGCGGCAAAAAGCGAGGCTCAGTGGGGTGAGCAGCGGCTGTCACCAGAGCAAGGCAACCTGTGGAAGCCCGAGCCCTTGGCCCAGGTGATGCGCTGCGGCCTCAGCCAGGTGTCACAGGTGACTCATCAGAGATGGCTCTGGGCCTTCTGATCTTCTGCTTCTGGGGGTGGGGAGTCAGATTTCCTTCGCCTCGGTGGAAAACAGCCCTCGTGTCTGTTTCCCATTTTCTGCTCTTTAATCGCCCTCTCACACCAGAAACCTATGTCAGGACAGGAGGCCTCGGGAGGCAAGCAGCAGGTCAAAGGGCAAACCAAAAATCCCCATTTAAAAAGACCCAAAAAACAACGACCATGAGCCCGAGAACCTGGAAGGGGGCCTGAACGGGGAGATCTGCCCTCCAAGGGCTTCCCTCCCTGCCCCTCCGATTGACAGCGCGGCTCTGCCCAAAACTACCGCTTCCGGCAGGCAGTGCGCGCCCCGCGGACACAGGCTGGCGGGGCCCGCGCCAACCCCGCGCGCACCGGCCAATCGCAGCCCCTGCTTGGGCCTCCGCCCGAGCGCAGCACGCGGGAGCCGGGGCGGCGAAACTACATTTCCCGAGGCGCTGGGGCGCTCGCCGGCCAATCGGCGCCCGGGACCGCGGGCGGGGCGGGGCCTGGTGCACGGGCCACCCGATTGGGCGGGGACGCGTAGGAGGGCCGGGACCGGGAGCCGGGCGGCTAAGTGACATTTCCTCTTAAGTCGCCGGAGCCCGGGCCGCGGAGGGAGCCATGGCCGCGTCGGCAGGTGGGTCTGCGCGGCCGGAGCGGCCGGGCGGGGGAGGAGGCGGGCCGGGCTCCGGCTGCGAGCGTCGGGGGCGGTGCGGGGCCGGGGGCGAGATGGAGAGAGGTAGAGGGGGACGACGCGGCGGGGGCAGGCGGCCGCCCGGCGGCGAGGGCGCGGGGCGTGCGGTCGGACGGGATGGGGGCCGGGTACCCGTCGCCGCTCGGCTCGGCCGGTTCGGAGCGGCTGGCTGGGGGAGCCAAGTCGGGGGCCGCCGCCGCCCACCCCCCACCCCCACCCCCAGCTCCCCAGGGGCGGCTCCTGCCCTCGGCCCTCGGCGCGACCTCCTCTCCGCCCGGCGGGGTCGCCTCACGCGTCCGGGGGCGAGCGCGGGGCTTCGGGCTCGCCTGGCTCGGGGCGCGGCGGCGGCGGAGTGTCCAGCCCGGCCTCGGGGCTCGCCGGCTCGCTCCGCTCGGCTCGCCGGGGGCTGACCTCGCTCCCGTTCGTTGGGTGGTGGCGTGTGCGCAGCACATAGAGAGAATCACGTCTTTTTCCCCCCCTCCCCTTCCAGGGTGGGGGTGGGGCTGGGGAGGTGGCAGGGAGCGGCCGGGCCGAGCGAAACATACGGACACACACACGCACGCACACACAGACACATACACATACACTCCCGACACACACGCATACACACACAGGAGCACACACGAGCACACACACACACATTCCGAACACACTCGCCTGTACACGTAGACGTTCGCGTGCGCGCGCACACACCCTCCCGACATAACACGCGTCCACACGTGCGCGCGCGCGCACGCGCACGCGCAGCCACGCAGGCACACATGCGCACGCACGCACGCCGCCGCGCCGCCCAACTGGCTCGGAACTTCTCTCGCGGCTGTCCGCGTTTCCCCTCCTAGATCCAAGCAAGTCGTCCCCCACGCCGAATGGGATTCCGCCCTCGGAAGCCGCCGGCGATGCCATGGACCCCTCGCACGCGTGCAGCATTCTCAAGCAGCTCAAGGCGATGTACGACCAAGGACAGCTGACAGACATCGTGGTGGAAGTGGATCATGGGAAGACCTTCTCCTGTCACAGAAACGTTCTCGCTGCCATCAGCCCCTACTTCAGGTACGGTGACGGTGACGGTGACGATGACGATGATGATGATGATGATGATGATGACGATGATGACGATGACGATGATGACGATGACGATGACGACGACGATGACGACGACGATGGGCATCTCCATCCAGATCCGCTCGGGGCTCTCCCCGTGATAGGCCGATTCCGCTGGCGCTGGCCCCGCTCTTCCGTTGGCGAAGGCGCGTTTGTCTGCGTCCAGTAGAGGATCCTGAGAGTCAGGAGTTGTCTGACCCAGTGCGGCAGCCGCCAGCCGCTTGCGACCTCCTCAGTTGCCGTTGTTGAAGATGGCACGAATGGGCGTGGGCAGATGCCCCAGGGCTGCGGCGTGTTCTCCCGCCTGCCGAAGCCCGTCCCCGTCCCCGCTCCGAAGCCTCCCTTCCCGCTCCCTGCTCCACCCAGATGCGCCAAAAAGTCCGATTTCCAGCCGCGCCATGTGCGAGCCTCATTTAGAGGCTCACGAGTCGCGCGGAGAGCGGGAGCCGCGCCGCACAGGCCAGGAAGAGCATTTTCGTCACGGGCTCATCGCCGGCACTGGCTGGAAGTTGTTCCCCATTTCAGGACGATTTTCCTTTCTCTCTTAGGGTGTGAAACGTTACTGTGTTCTTTAAAAACACATCGCCGTCGAGTAAAGTCATTTATTTTTGGTGTAGGGAAGCACCAAAAGCAGTGGGCTAAAGAGGAATGAAATACGCTTCTGTGTGCCTTACGCTTCAGGCATTGATTCTTCCCAAGATTTCCAGGAGTGTTTTGAAGTCAACTTTTCGTTTATTTGCGTATTTTATCTTTTTTTATCTGTGTGTGTGTTACAAAACCTTGAAAAGTACAATTTGGAACTTCGACGTATAAAATGTTTGGTGTAGAGGATACTCTAAGATCAGTGATAAAAGCACGAGTTTAACCTCTTTTGTGTCAAGAGCTCACTTTTTCAGCTTTTCAGTATTCAAAAATGCTGCGTAACTGCCAGTGAGCTATTTGCTCAGGACACTCTAAAGGTGCTGTTTTTCTTTTGCAGGTGCTTACCTTTAAGGGCCTAGAAAAGTGTATGTTCCAGACAGTAGTTTCTGGTTCCTCTTTCTCTGAAAACTGGGTTAAATATAGTCTGATATCTGTTATGTAACTGTTTGGCCTAGCCTCGGGTAGGTCATCGGACTATTAAGTATTAATCATCAAGAGGCAGTGAATTGAAAAGTAAAAAGAAGAAGCTCATAGACAGATGGTATGGCATTTGGCCTGCTACTGGAAAATCCTAGTGCAATACGTCATTCAGTCTCTCTGTTAGATATGATTTGGTGATTTATGCAATTAAATTGAGTTTTAAGCTAAGCATACCTCACAAATACTACTTTCAATAATTTTTCTGCTTCAGCCTTTGTACAGATTTTTCTATTTTATGTGTAATAAACTGAGGCTCAGAGAGGTTAAGTGACCTGTCTAAATAAGCGATCTCATTAGTAAATGACAAAGGCTGCATTTTACTTCAGAGAGAGACTTCTAAGTCGGTGTATAATTTAAGGAGCAAGAATGGAGCCTTTCTTAAGTTTATGAATTTTTAGTATAAATTAGATCTTCATAGTGAAAACAAGTACTGGAATTTCAAAGTGGAATGTCTATGTCTCAGTGAAATTTTATACTCTGAATGTTATCATTTAAATGTCAATTAAAAGGTTTGAAGACCATGGGCAATCATCTTTAAAAAATTAATAGATTATTATTTCTCTTTGAAATTATCTTATTTGCCAACAAGTTAAGGAAATCCTTTGAAAATTTCTAAACATCAGAGGATTCAAATGAACACATTTACTTAGAAAACTTAAGAATTTGGTTATTTCTTGCAGGAGGTTTTGTACAGTAGTTCCATGGTACTAGTGTCATTTCTTATGTGAGACCTAGAAAATCATACTTAATAGTTTCTAAGGCTTGCATCACTGGTAGAAGCATTAGAACTTCCTGAAACTTGGCATGGTCGTTTCGTGATTCCAGTAGCTTGCAGGATTAAATTTTGTGTGATTATTCAAAATGTTTGCTGCTCTAACATTTGTGTGAGGAAGTACTCCCACCTCCTGTAGTGTGCAGAAAGAACCTCAGAGGAAGCTCATCGATTGTTGTACTGCTCCCATGTAGTCTGTTCAAATCAGTAGTAGTTCCCATGATAAAGGGTTATGTGGTAATGCTCTCCTTTGGGACTTAATCTCTGCCTAATGAAGGGCTTTATTTTTCTTTTTAATTGGCGGCTTGTATAACTAAGAATTTTACCACCTGCATTGATAACTAACATTGGATCACTTAGTTTTCAGTGATTAAAAAATGAACCTACCTTAACATATTACCATAATACTGTTTATGATGTCATATTTATAATCTATTTATTACAATAAATATATTAAACTTAGTATTTATACTATAGAAGTTAAATTAGAACTCAAGGATTATTAACCCATGAAGCAATTTGTACTCTGATAGACCTCTGATCTCCTCAGACTTCATTTAAAAGTATTTTGTGTTTGACAGAAACATCAGAAGTGACTAGTAATAATTACTTTTTCCAGGAGTGCTCAGTATTGGCTCTGCACTAAGGAATCACTCCTAGTGGGCTCAGGGACTGTAAGGGATGCCAGGGATCAAAAACTGGGTCAGCTGTGTACAAAGCAAGCACCCTTCCCTTTGTACTATCTTTTTGGCCCCTGTGTCTGGCCGTATTTTACAGATCTTTTACTGGCAATATTTACATATATTTTCCAAAATATAGTGCTTAAATATATGATTAATCAATTTCATCATTAATGATGGTTAATTTCTTCAATAGACATGTAATCAACATCTTAGAACATAGCTCTTAGTTTTTCAACGTATTTAAAAGAGTTTATTTCATTTTAAAAATTAATTTGGGGAGCATAGTTTTGTGCTCACGGCTTTTTACTCAGAGAACCATGTATCATGCAGAGGAGCAAACTGGGGTCAGCTGCATGCTAGTCAAGTGACTTAACCCCAGCACCATCTCTCCAGCCCTTCTTTTTATTTGATTTTAAGAGCAACACAGAAAGGAACGTTGAAAGAGAAGATAAAAGCATATGTTTGTAAGTCACAAGCAGACATTCAGGTTTTGACTACTTAATGTTTTGGTCACTGATATTCCATAAGTGTACAAGATATTTCAGTTTCAAAAAAACTTGGTCTCAGCAGCAGAATTTTCACCATACATAGTTAAGATTTTTTTTCTTGTGTTGAAAATTTTGAGATCTACTGTCTTAGCAATTTTTTAAATACGCAATACTGGGCTTGAGAGATAGACATGGGTTATGGCATTTGCCTTGAATGTAGCTGACCCTGATTTAATCCTGGCACCTAATGAGGTTCCCTGAGCACTGCCTGGAGTGACCCCTGATCACCAAACCAGGTAAGCCCTAAACACTACCAGGGGTGACCCCACAATCAAAACCAAACCAAACCAAAAATCAAGTACGCAATTCTGTATTCGTAGCTGCATCACCATATTTTACATTATATACCTGGGATTTATGTAGTACTTTTAAATTGTATGATTATTCAAAATGTTTACTTGTTTTATTGTTTATAAAAGGTCTACTCGCCACTATGATGCAGCCTGTCATTTTGAATACAAGTTGTCTTATAAAGTTGAGAGCTAGTACAGTGGTGTTTACCATGCATGCAGCTGACCCAGATTTAATCCCTGGCAGCTCGTATCCTAGAGCACTGCCAGGAGTGATCCCCAGGAATAATGATCACTGAGCACAGAGCCAGGATTAAGCCTTGAGTACTGCTGAGTGTGGCCCCAACAGCAACAAAAATCAATAAAGTTCCATTGGTCATGAAAAGTTCTAGTAGACTATCTCTTTTGGCACTATATGAGTATCTTTTTGTATTTTTTGTGGACTTGTTTCAGTTTGGGGACCATATCTGGTAGTGCTCAGGGATTCTTATCTATATATTGACTGGGCTTATTTCAGGTGATGCCGCACTCAGGGGACCATGCAGTGCAGGGGATTGAAATCAGGCTTCATGCCTGCTAGCCCTCCTGTACTATCTCCCCAAGTCCTCTATAGATATTCTTAAATTTACTGACTTTTGATTTAAAATGTCACTTTCCTATAAGATTATAAGACCAAATGTCCCCAAGGGAACTTGATTAGAAACCTGGATAAAGGCTCCAAGGAAAATATGGTACCCTGAAATAATTCCATTTCACCTTTCGAGTATATTCTTTTTCTCAGAATTGGGACCAAATGAACCGGTTCTGAGAGTAGGGCTTTTGAGATTAACTAGAATAAGTCTGCTGGATCATCAACTTTTAATTCCATTCAAAATCATCATAAAACAAACTAGGCAGTCCCTTTCAGTTTAAAAAAAAATTGTCTTTGGGGTAACTTTATACTAGTAAGTTCTTGTGACAATAATTTTAATTTTCAGTACACATGTGACATTTTCCACTCTTTCCTTCGTAGATCCATGTTCACTAGCGGCCTTACAGAAAGTACTCAAAAAGAAGTTCGAATAGTCGGTGTGGAAGCTGAATCCATGGATTTAGTGTTGAACTATGCCTACACCTCCAAAGTTGTTCTGACAGAGGCCAATGTTCAGGCCCTGTTCACTGCAGCTAGCATATTCCAGATTCCTTCCATCCAGGACCAGTGTGCTAAATACATGATCAGTCACTTGGACCCTCAGAATTCTATTGGGGTCTTCATATTTGCTGATCATTATGGTCATCAGGAGCTTGGAGATCGATCAAAGGAATACATTCGTAAAAAATTTCTGTGTGTCACCAAAGAACAGGAGTTTCTCCATTTGACGAAAGACCAACTGATAAGCATTCTAGACAGTGATGATTTAAATGTAGACCGAGAAGAACATGTCTATGAAAGCATTGTAAGGTGGTTTGAACATGAACAGAATGAAAGAAAAGTGTACCTTCCAGAAATTTTTGCCAAATGCATACGTTTTCCTCTGATGGAAGATACCTTTATAGAGAAAATTCCACCTCAGTTTGCACAGGCTATAGCCAAAAGCTATGTAGAAAGGGGACCATCCAACACTAATGGCTGTACACAAAGACTTGGAATGACTGCATCTGAAATGATCATATGTTTTGATGCTGCCCACAAACACTCAGGAAAGAAGCAAACAGTGCCTTGTCTAGATATAGTCACAGGAAGAGTGTTTAAACTATGCAAACCGCCAAATGATCTAAGAGAAGTTGGGATTCTTGTGTCACCAGATAATGACATTTACATTGCAGGAGGGTATAGGCCAAGCAGCAGTGAGGTTTCCATTGACCATAAGGCAGAAAATGATTTCTGGATGTATGACCATTCCACCAATAGATGGCTACCCAAACCATCCTTGCTGCGAGCCAGAATAGGCTGCAAACTGGTATATTGCTGTAGTAAAATGTATGCAATAGGAGGCCGTGTTTATGAAGGTGATGGGAGGAACTCACTCAAGTCTGTTGAGTGCTACGATAGCAGAGAGAATTGCTGGACAACGGTTTGCGCAATGCCTGTTGCCATGGAGTTTCATAATGCTGTAGAGTACAAGGAGAAGATCTATGTTTTACAAGGTAAGTATCTTAAGTGACTTTGTCCTTCAAAAAAGAGTAAAATGTCAGACTGTGGGTTTCTTATACAAAAAAAGAATAGCATCTGTCCCTACTAATTGATGAATGTCTCTGGCTCTTTTGTTTGCTGTTGTTTGTTTGGGCCACAACATGGTTTTATGCTCAGAGCTTCCTCTTGACTCTTCACTAGGGGATGCTGGTTCTTGGGGGTTGTGTGGGGTGCTGGTGATCTAACCCAGGTCCACTGTGTGCAAAGCCACTCTGCTGTCTCCCTGGCCCCATCTCTGGCTTCCTTATCAAACATTGTTGGAATAATCTGTTCTTTAAAGGGCATATCAAGAAAATAAGACTTTTGAATAAAAATGGGAGGCATTTTTTGTTACCAAAATGATTTGCAGGCTTATTATCCTCTTACTGTGTTTTGACCTTGTGATTATTTTGAAAACAATAAAAATAATTCAGTGTGTGGGAGAACTTTTATTTCACAGCCAATTTTGAGACACACAAAACTTGTTTCTTTATTATTTTTTTATTTTAGTAAGAAAGTAAAGTACATGGCTTTTGTTTTTTGCTTTTTATTATTAAAGAATCAAGAAGTGTAGGTATTTTCTTATGGTATTTATTGGATTTGTTGAAAAAGTGAGAAAGAATATGAGCAAGGTATTCACTAAAATTATGTTATTCATCCATAAAAGAATTCTGTGTAAGGTTTATGATTGCAAGAATAAAATTCAATTGCATAGAATTTGAAGTTGTCGTAAGTCTACAACTGTACCTCATGGTGTTTCACTAATAAAAATTAAAAAAAAAAGAATTTGAAGTTGCATTCTGTAGATTTAATTGCATTGGAGATTTTGTTGCCTTCAATAGGTTTAAGAACTTATTTTTCACTGAAAACTTTGAATATGCCAGCTTTTTCTTCCTTTACCATTATATAAAGAGGGACCGTCTAATTTGCTTAGCTTAAAGAAAAACAAAAACTTTCTTCAGTGACTGAAGACCAGGACTCTGGCGAAGATGATTTTTAATAGAGGTAGCAAGTGTCTGGATGGGAGTACATAAGAAATTTGGTTGCAGGGAATGAGAGAAAAGGAAGACAAGCCTTTTAAAAACTGTTTTTTAATTAAAATAATTTTTCGGTTTTTTGAACCACACCCGGTAGGGTTCAGGATGTACCCTTGACTGTTCAGAGATCACTTCTGGCAGGGTTCAGGGGCTTATATATAGTTATGGGGTTGAAGCCCCTGTGGCACTGCCTGCTGTGCAATTGCTCAAACCCTAAAACATTTGATCCAGAATTCTGATTTGTAATAGCTAATATGTTTCTTGTGTTTGGTTTCTTACATATTTTTAGTTGCCTGAACGTTGATACCATCATCCTTATTCATGCTTTTGTGTTTGTTTGCTTATACAAGAATGTTTCCTCACACTGCTTCTTTTAATAAACAAAAAAGGAGCAATTTCTGTGTAGATACACTAGTTTTCGCTCTGCTGATGTTGATTTTTAAAGTATGTTCTTTGCTCTAATCTCTTATTGAACTTAAAATTTCCTAGAAATTTTAAAATCCGTTTGTTTCAAGTTCAATGTAAAATTATTTCTCAGAAGGACTCTCTAGTGCCTTCTTTTAGTTAAATAGAAACATGGACATGATTTGTGTTGGACTTGGTGAAAAGGGAAAGAATACTCAGGAGGTTATATCAACAAGTATCATGAAACTCTTACCTGTGTATATTTTGATCTCACTAGCTAACAAGTTAGCTAGAGCCTTATCTCTTTATTATTATAAGGCTTTCAGTTAGAAGGTTAAGGTTGTCTGTTGGTGTAAACAATAAAACAAAGAATTGATAGAACCTTAGAAGCAGAATAAACATTGTTTAATCTGAGGTTATATTTTATAAAGAGGAGTCTGTGGCTGAAAAGCTTTCTTGTCATTTGTTTAATTGCTTGTCATCCGTTTAAGTTTATTAAGAGCGCTTTAGAGTAGAAAAATTAACTTTACATCTGATCTTCTGTAAGAAATTGTGAAGGATCTTTATTAGATTTCTTCATCAGGTGGTACATTTTAGAAAGTTTTCATTGCTACCTTCATCAAGAATTCTGTTATAAGTCAGAAAGGGAAGGCAGTGTGTATGCAAAAGCTGAGAGCTTGATAATCTTTTAAGAAAAATTAAAATAATAACTAGCAGTTAAATTTGTAGATAAGAGTAAATCTAGTTACAAACCATTTTCAAGGAGCTGTCCAATATAGTTGTAGGCATTTTCTTTAGTCCTCATCATATAACTACAAATAGATATAAAATGTGCATTTTTTTTTGTTTTTTTCCCCTCTTTTAGGAGAATTTTTCCTCTTCTATGAGCCTCAAAAAGACTACTGGGGCTTTTTAACCCCCATGACTGTGCCTAGAATCCAGGGCTTAGCAGCTGTATACAAGGATTCTATCTACTACATTGCTGGAACCTGTGGAAATCATCAGCGGATGTTTACTGTAGAAGCCTATGACATTGAGCTAAATAAGTGGACTCGCAAGAAGGACTTTCCATGTGATGAGTCCATAAATCCCTATCTTAAACTGGTACTTTTCCAAAATAAACTTCATTTATTTGTTCGAGCTACGCAAGTGACCGTTGAAGAACATGTCTTCAGAACCAGCAGAAAAAATTCCCTTTACCGGTATGATGACATCGCTGACCAGTGGTTGAAAGTATATGAAACCCCAGACCGTCTCTGGGACCTTGGCCGGCATTTTGAATGTGCCGTTGCTAAACTCTATCCTCAGTGTCTTCAGAAAGTTCTTTAATGAGTAGGAGGCCTTAGTTGCTCACTGGCATCTTGTACTTGAGGAAACTTGGTCTTCAGTGATGCAAGATGTGCTGTCAGTATTTAAGAAAGCTGAGAGAGTTTGTACATGGAAATGGGTGCTCCTAAAGATTACAGTGTAGGAAGGGATTTTTTTTCTCCATTGTTGTGAAATTTTCATTTTTGTAAGCAAAGGTAACAAAGTGCAATTATCAGCATTTTTTTTTCCTGGTTTAAAAGTATCATATTACTCTAGAATTTTGTGATTAGTAGTCTCTGAGCTATCAGAAGAAGACAACTATGCACTCTTAGAAGAGCATTAGGGTATTATTGGCTAGCGATATCCAAATTAGTTTGATGTGACTTTTTATTTTAAATACGGGTAAAAATCTGAGGCAATATCACTAGGACTGCAGCTGTGACCTCTCTGACATAGAGAAGCACTACTTAGATCCTCATTCTTAATAAATAGCTATATAGAGAGATAGATCTATATATTTGTGTACTGTTTTCACGTGTTCTTGGATTAAAACGTGTTCTTTTATTAGAATAGATAGAAAGGAAAAACAAAGCAATTTCAGAAAGGACATTTGGTTTGATTCTTATGCCCCTCGCCCCAACCATCCCCCCTCCGGTTTTAAGTTAAGCTGAGGTTTTAAAGTAGCGTTTTTTTGTTGATAACTTTTTGAAGTGCTGACGCTGTTTCATTTAAAAAAAAATCCCCAAGGGCTCAAATTCACAGGTGACTGGTGCTAGTTTATGTGTATAGCTAGATAGATGTAAATTGTCCGAGCCTATACTTCTCTTTTATATTGATATGCTAGTACTAGTTTTGTGGCCATAGTTCTTCACTTAATGAACTCTGGCTGTTTCACAAGGTCCTTTACTTCCGTGATAGCAAGGTATGGCCACTTACTGATCTAACTGGATTCATTTTTTCACATGGTGAGAATATTTTACTCAGTTTGCACTAACATAGGCTGTTTTGTCTCCTCACATTCTTTTCCATCCCCTATCTGTTGAGTCCTTATTGGTACAATGAAAGCAACTTATTTCTCTTCTGCACAGAGCATAATGTGAAGTTTTACACCTGCTTTAAAATTCTGTTTTCCAGAAACTCAAAACTCTTGCAGTGATCTAATTTAATGGCTTTCATATTACATGTGACAATTCAAACCTCATTTTTTTTTCATTTTTGCACTTAACAATGATAATATTTTTATGTTGACAACCTAATCCTAGCTGAAGGTAATTGATAAGGAAAAGAGTGAATAGAACCATAGCATTATAGGTACTTACTGATTTTCATATTTTACTGGTGAATTTCTAATAATCACAAAATGTTAATGAAGTTCAAACAAACTCATTTGTGATACCTAAGGCAAGTATTTGGGTTAATAACTTACTTTTTACTATGCTGAGGATAATTGATAAAAGATACGAGTATAACCAAGAGTGTCTCCTCAGTGGTACATTTTGATTCTCTTAGAGAAAAGAAGCTAGCATGGTTTGTATTAAAACTCTTGCACAAATTGTAATGTAATACTGTGAAACAAATTTAAAACATTGCCTCTTTGCATCACATACCTCGTTTTTTCAGAAACTTTCCAAACTTCTTGTCATAGACCTCTTTAAGTAGGGAATGTTTTCTGAAGCAGAATTTAAAGTGGACAGCTTTTTATAGAATTAACAGCTTAAAATCTAGTCTTAAGAACTAGATATGTGGTTTCTTCTTACTGGTGTTGATAGTGTGGTTATTATCTCTTTACAAACTTTGTCAACCGGTGATCTGTTCTCCCCACATTTTCTGTTTCTTTATCTTCATGCTGTTTTAGGGATGTTTCTGTAATTTTCTTTTTTATTTCAGCATCATTTCAGTGTTGTGTTGCAGAGGGGAGAAAAAAAATAATTCCGCTTTTGTGAAATATGTTCATGTAATTTCTTTTTGAAAGCTTTGTTGAATAACTAAAATTTCCTGTCGCTTTTTGACAATCTATATTTATTTAGATATATGTATTACTTGAAAACATGACATTAGAGCATTGAGTTAGCAAGTTACACATGCCGTATATTTGTAGAAGTACAACATATGGTGGTTAATTCTACAGTAGAGGTTTGGTTGATCTGCACAACAGTTGATCCTTTTGCTCTAACATTTTATATTGAGGGACTGACAAGTATAGTGTGTCAAAGCCAAGGTTTAGAATTTGCTATAGTACTAACTAGACTATATATTGAATTTTGTATGAAGAACTATTTGCTTAAATTATATAGCTGGAATACTTTGCCACTTTTAAGTGATTTCAGAAGAGTTCCTAGAAAGATAAGATTAGTAATATGTATGGATATATGTTCAGATATTTAAGGTACATTTGCATAGTGTGATGAGAATATAAGCAGAAGGCACAATGGGTACTACAGAATTGAAATACATGTCTAACACAAATGCCAGTCACTGTAACTTTGTTTTTTGCATTTGATGAATGTATGTAGCACTTTCCTATGTATTTTTAATACATTGAAACTGGACTTGCTATAACTGTATAGGAAAGTAGAAGTTGTATTCTTTATTTTCCATCTTTGTTTACTGTTCTTACAAAGTTGATGCTTAAGCATCAAGCTTACTTCATTGGTGCATGAGAAAAAGTGGATGTGATCTGCAAGGAATCAGATTCCCTCTGTGAATCAGTTCAATGGCATTCAATGTTCAGTGCTCAGGTATGTAGTAAATACTGTAGTCCTGGGGGGGCAAATGTATAGCTATATTAAAACATTTTGCCATAATTGCACAATTTTTTGCATTTTTATGTGATTGCATTGTTTCTTATAATAAAGCCTTTTCTGATTAGAAACATCGATTGTTGTAAACTGACCTCTGACTGGTGTGTTGTTGTATTAAGCTTTGAAGAAAATCATAAATACTGATGACATTTTGGAATGAGATGAAATTTAAACCTGTTACATGCTGAAACTGGTATGAAGTGAACTAGTGAATATCACTTTTTTTACCACTCTTTAAATTCTAAAATTAATTCATTAATATCAGTAACTCCTATGCTACATTTGTTTTGGCCTAAAAGTTTATTTTCCCCCTTCTTTCATTTCTCATAGTTGATCCATCAGAAAATACTGTTTTGTTTTCAAACTATAGAGTCTAACCATATGTCACTTGTACCACTTCATCCTAGATTAAATTAACCTATATTGTCTGCTTAAATGCATTTTCACTGACTGGTCTGTTTGATGCACAATAACCAAGTAATCCTGTAAAATCACAAATCAGAATATGTCCCTCTGCTACTCAAATCCCTCCAACTGCTTCCCATTTTCATTCATATGCAAGCCAGTATCCCTTATAGCCCCCACCCCAGCCTCATTCCTTCACTAGTTTACTCTAATCCAGCTATGCTGACTTCAGTTTCTTTTTTTTTTTTTTTTGCTTTTGCTTTTTGGGTCACACCCGGCAATGCACAGGGGTTACTCCTGGCTCATGCACTCAGGAATTACTCCTGGCGGTGCTCAGGGGACCATATGCGATGCTGGGAATCAAACCAGGGCCGGTCAGGTGCAAGGTGCATGCCCTACCCGCTGTGCTATCGCTCCAGCCCTGCAACTTCAGTTTCTTAAATAGGCCAAGTATCTCAGTCTTCAGGGTTGTGGCCCACTTAAGTCATTTGCCAAGGAAATCCTCACAAAGTTACTTTATTCAAGTTTAATAAGATAGCGCGACATCTTATTATCTCATTCCTACTTTGGACAAACTGGCAGGCTACCGAAAGTAACCTGCCCTCACGGCAGAGTCTGGCAAACTCCCCGTGGTGTACCCAATATGCCAAATACCAGTAACAATGATGGGTCTCATTCTCCTAACTCTGAAAGAGCCTTGAATATGGCACTTTATTAAAAAATCTCAGGGCTAGGATGAAGGAGATGTTACTGGGGCCTGCTCGAGGCAATCGACGAATAACAGGATGGTCATGATTGTGATCGAATAAAATAGCAGAGCAGCCAGCCCTGACCTAGTGTAAACCTGAATGCCCTCCTTTCCACCCCCACCATTGCCACCTCTATTTCCCTTTTTTAACCCTATATATCCCTTCCCTCATTTAAATGTTTTTGTTTTATTTTTATAAAGTAGTTCACAATATTTGATTACATTTAATATTTGAACACCAGTCTCACCACCTTTACACCTTCCCACCACTATATTTTGGATGTTTCCATCCCAAGCCTCAACTCCTGCCACACAGCAGAACCAAAATAATTTATTTTTTATTGTTTGTTAAGAATAAACTGCTGAAAATGTTCCCAAAAAGTTTCCTTAGAGGAACTGTGTGAAGATTGTTGTATTTCACCCAGGGGCCATTAAGCCCTTCTATGAGATTACTAACATGCTAAAGATTGAGCTTTGTGTGCATACATACATATATATATCACTTAATCACTTAAGTGATAATATATATGTATGTAAACATATATATATATATTTCCTTCTAAGATTTAAAGATTGGTTGGCAATTGAATGTGGTGTACTACTCTTTGAATGGGCTGGAGGGATAGCACAGTGGTAGGGCGATTGCCTTGCACACAGCCAACATGACCAACTCGAGTTCGATTCCTCCGCCCCTCTCAGAGAGCCCAGCAAGCTACCGAGAGTATCTTGCCCTCATGGCAGAGCCTGGCAAGATACTCGTGACGTACTCGATATGCCAAACACAGTAACAAGAAGTCTCATGATGGAGACGTTACTGGGCCCGCTCGAACAAATCGATGAACAACGGAGGACCGTGACCGTGACTCTTTGACTATTAGTGATGTGAGGTATGAGATGTCGCATGGCCGCATTTGTGGCTTTGCAGTCCAGGATTAGGTTCACTCATGGGTGAGATTCGGTTCGAGCATATGGAGAGCAGCTGTGAGCATGGTGATCGTTGAGTTCTAGAGGTTTTCAGCTGCTGGGGCTGGTCCCGTGAAGGAGGAGGGGGGCTTCACCTGCCCCCTTCCTGGGTGCCCCTAATGGAACAACCTAGAGTGGAGTCTGGCAGCATGGCGATGGTGAGTCATTTTCTGCTCTCTTCTGAGAGATTTATGATGAGTCTTTGGATCGTGACTGTTGATGAGATTATCTGGCACCAGCCACGGGTGGCTTGTGGGCTTGACTGCCAAGTTGTCAGAAACAAAGGAAGGTGGGGGAAGGGCCACCCATTCCCAGTTCTGTTGAACCTGGAGTTTTCAGTCACAAGTCCCACATACCTGGGTTCTCTGCAGATTCACTTGACCCCATTGAAATGTTTGCTCCACAAAGGCAGCAAGATTTATTAGGCATCTCAGATTCACATGAGGCATTCCTTAAACATTTGCAAAAGGAAAATAATTTTTGTTTGTGTCTTAGCATAACCTGAGATAAAACCAACTCTGTTTTATCAGATAGCTAACAAAGCTCAAGTAAGTTGCTGAAAGACATAATTAATGAGAAATTCTCAGATCAGACCCAAGATTTCTACTTTTACTTGAACTACTTCCTACATACTATTCTATATTCAAACAAAACTAATTGAAAAGTAAATGTGTCTTTTAAGTTTAATTTTAGAATACCATCTTTTCTCCAGTACTTCTATTTAAAATATCTATACTGTAATTTATAACTATTATTCTTAGTGGATGAGTAGCTAAGAAAATACATTCTCTTTGTTGGCCCCTACACCTCCTGCATATTGTATCCTACATTCATATACCTGTTAATGAGGTCTGTCCCACAAAAAAGTTGAAAATACAATTTAAAGTATAGCTGATTTGTTTCTTTAAAAATTATCTGTCATTTAAATTCTTGTTGTAATATCTTTACATTTTATTAAAGAATTATTTGTAAATGTAACAATTAAAAGTAGTGTTCTAGGAGCTTCAGGTCTTTAAGAAGAATGATGTCTGTGACATCTGCTCATTTGGGGGTTTTGTTGTTCACAAGGCTTGAAGGCCACGCCCACTGGTGCTCAGGTGCTGTCAAACCCAGAGCTTCACACATATAAGGCCTCTTAGGTACTGTCAGACTTGGGCCAATTCCCTAGATACTTGTTAAATTTTAAAAGTGAAAAGAAGAATTATTGAGCACAAAGAAATATTTTTCCTCCATTTTGTGTGTATAGAATATACTTAATGGTTCTTAGATTGGGTAGATTGTTTAAAGTTTTCAAAAGTAGACATGATGTGGTACTATTAGCTAGTAAAATTTCTCGTACTCATTTTGTATCCAGTTTACAACATCACAAATTTTTATTCTACACACTTCGTTTTGTCTACTTATATCTCTGGGAGAAGATCCTAGGATCTAGAAAGTTTAGCCTTTGGCTCATAGGTCTGATTTTATTTTATTTATTTTTTTTTGTAACCTACTTAACACCCAATAAGCTAATTTGGATAGATGACTCAATATGGCTGCCATCCCAGAGAAAGAAAAAAAACTATACTTTTTAGTCATACAGTAAATATTGAAGATTTAAGTTACTATTCCATTAATCAAAATGTTAATCTTTAATCAAGGTATTTTATGACTGCTAAGGATAGCGTAGTCCAGTCTGAGTTAGGTAACCATAGACAAAATATATTTCCACTCTTTTATTGTGAATTACAAAGCATTAAAATACATGGCGTTTCTATAAGTACTCACCTTATTCCCTTCTCACTCCTCCCTCGAGCCCACTTTGCTTTCACCCACTCCAGTTAGTATATTCTCCACATGACCAAAACTGCTTTTACCAAGGTCTGTCTCCAGTATCTCCTATGCTCCAAATTCATCCTTCACTTTTCTGTTCTCAGTTTATTTGACTTCATGGAAGTATTTGGCACAATCTATTACAGTTATCATTTTGGAGTTCTTTTTTCTTACTGGACTTCACAGAGAGTATGTTCTGGGAATTAACTTTTTTACTATGGGTTCTTACTTTTCTTTGTTGGATCTTTCTCATTGTGGGTCATCTTCTCATCCTATTTCTTCTCACCTCATCTAATCCTGTTATGTGCCAAGTGCATGCTTATGGCTTCTAACTTTATATTTTCTAACAAAACCTCTCCTTTTAGCTCCAGACTCATATTTCCAAATGCTTAATCAATCATTTTGTTGGATTTCTGGGGACAGCTCAAGACTAATTTTCTGAGTTCTCTTTTTACATCACCCCTGCATTCAGTCAGTCCATCTAAAAAGGTCTGAAAGTGCTATTTGCAAACTGCAGTTTATGTCTGTCTACTCCTTTTCATTTTAACCATTTCCACCTATTTTGTAGCCAGTCTTCTATTTTTATGGGTTGCTGTAGTAGCACCATAGCAATTCTCTCTGCCCATGTTCTCAGTAAGCCGCTCCCTGTGTCAGAACTAAATGATTGGTAAACAATGAGAATATGCCACTAATAGCATGCTAATTCTTTTCCCTCAGGTGCTCCATAAGTGATCCTTGCTTCTCTGGTTATGTCTGTGGAGATTCTTTCCTTTGCTATGACTTCTTAAAACTGCTGCTGACTTTGTAGGTGTTCCTCGCATTTACACTTGTTTTGCACTGCTGTAGCACGGTAGCACTGGCCTCCCATTGTTCGTCGATTTGCTCAAGCAGGCACCAGTAACTCTCCATTGTGAGACTTGTTGTTACTGTTTTTGGCATATCAAATACGTCAAGGGGAGCTTGCCAGGCTCTGCCCTGTAGGTGAGATATTCTCAGTAGCTTACTGGGCTCTCCCAGAGGGATGGAGGAATCAAACCCGGGTCAGCTGTGTGCAAGGCAAATGCCCTACCCACTGAGCTATTGCTTCAGCCGATAGCACTGTATTCCCATGTATATGTTTCAATTGCAGTTTTTCTAGGCAGTTAGA